TATACGTTAACATTAGGATTTTAGCGTGGGTAATTTATGATTTACAGTTATAAAGCCCTAAGTTAATCTCAAAAAAACACAATGAATTAAAAAACTTAGCTAAAATTTGGATATGAGAAAAATAATCTATAAACAATATCTTGGAAAAAAAATCTAGGTATGTGGTGCATTTGGAATCATTCAAATTTCTAATATCTAAGTCACGATACTAATTACTTACCTCCTTAAAGTACCTCCCACACCGATTTCCTGACGATCATAGAATATAATAAAGTAACAACGTAAATAAAAGCTATTTTGATAAATAATAATATGATCAGTCCCATTGCGCGCAACCATGTTTAGACTTGTCCCCTAATGCATTTAGAAAAAACATGGTAACATATAATCGCGTTTTAATTACAGTATGATCATCAAATTCGGCGTGAAATATCCTATAAATTTAACACTTAAACTCAAAAAGACAATAATTTACTTGTTTCCCTTTATATGAACTCGGTTCAATTATGTAAGACAATTTCAAACTGTCACGTTATATTAAATTTGATAGATCACCTTTTAAATAATTAATTAATTATTCGATTAGCCATTTACAAGATATTTAGGTAGGTAATAGAAATAATATTACCATATGATATTGAACAAATGTCTGTTAAAGTGGATGGCATAAAAAAAAAAAAAATACGTAATCGAAATATCTACGTTCTAATAAAGTTCCTAATACCTATTGTAAATTAAAAACGAATGGTATTTTGTAAACTTAAAATTCAATTATTTCATAATTACAAAATAGTTCAGTGAATAGTAAAATACCAGAAAATATTCCCGATATTTACGAGATAAAAATGATTGCCTGTGTTCCTCGAACAATATGTAAACTAAATACTTACCGATCGACCGACCTCGTGAGATTTCGGCTTGATGAAGACAGGCGGTTTCAAATGTGTTTGTGTATCAAATGACGTATTTATGTTCTGGACAAAATAAAAAATATAATTAAACAGAACAGTTTGACTGGACCACTGCACTAGAATGAGTGAGTTTATCTTTAAAATATTATAATTATCGAAGTTTTGGATACTTGTTTCCTAATCCGTTGTTAGAGATAACCTCTACAGTTACAAATTATAAAATGTTAAGAAAAATATTCGATATCAATTTTAAATAATATACCTATCTACTCAAATTACTGTTGAATTAACCTGACGGACTATTTGAAAAAAAATAAATATGAATCCACCTATATTATGTAAAATATTCAAAATACTCCAAATGAATTTTGTGGTTCGTACTTTTACAAACGAAATTCGATAAATCAATAGATTAACAATCACTGTCAGTAATGGTTGGAATTTAATTTTTTTTTTTATTTACAGATTGTGTGATATATTGTATCAACACTGTTGTTATCTATATTATTCTTGATAATAATATTATTCGAACTAATAACCTCAAAATGTATATTATTACTGTATTATGATATTATAACCATTTCCACACAAAAAAATAACTTTTTTTTAAAATGTTTGTTCAATAATAATAAAATAAATATGTTTTCTATGCACGAAATAGATTGAACAATACCCAGGGGAGGGCGTTTGCTCCTATAGCCACTCTTGTATACGCCCATGGGTGGTGGTAGCCAATTCAGTGTTTGCAGATAATATTATGCAAGACTTATTTATACAGTTTTATTATCTGAACAAAACCGTGTAGTGTTATGATTTTTCATTTTTGTATCATTTATAAAGGCTATGGTAGCTTGATTTCTTCATTTGATCCCTTTCTGTAATGTTCTGCTCACATAACATAATATTATAACTTATAATTATTTATTATTTATGTCAATACAAAAATGTAACTAAAAGATTTAAATATGTCGAATACTTTTTAATTTACAAAAGGTGAATAATTAAATAAATCTAACGGATCGTTCGCTATTCGAGAGTGATGCAAGCTTATCTACAAGCAAAATAATTTAAACAAATGTCAAATATAATAGAACTGCATGCCATCTACTGCGGCCCTTTAGGGACACTGCTGCCTCAATCATACTATTGTATATTTTCTTATTTTCACAATTCGATTATTAATTACTTTATATCGACATTGACGCGATCGCCATCTGTTCTGTCTTATTAAGCATACAAATTCCAGTGGTTTTCTATCATTCGAGAAAAATTAATATCCAATCAATTACCTTCATTTAGAACATTGAAACATATACAATTTTACGGTTTTTTCAATTGAAAATGAAGCCTCTTGATCCCTCGAGAAATCCCAAGACGAACACTCAGTCGAGAATCCTGCACACAGCAAAAACTACGCTCCACTTAGTTCTTTCAAGGATCTCTCTCGAATAGCTATCTCGACGGGCAGTATCAAATGAATTTGTGTAACAAATGATGTATTTATGTTCTGGACAAAAAAAAAAATATTATTAAACCGAACAGTTCAACTGCACTACACAACACTGCACTAGAATGCGTGAATTTATCAAAAAAATATTATAATTATCGAAGTTTCGGGCATTCGTTTCCGTTGTTAGAGAGAACCACTAATGTAATAAACTAGACAATTTGAAGGTAA